CCAGAAATAAGGGCTGCTAACTTCTTTATGTAGATCCTTCCAGAGTTCCCTACTTACTTTCTTATGTGTCTGTACTCAAAAGTATATATTAGACATCTAGAACATTGGAATATCCTATGCAAACTTTTATAAACTGAATTTGACTGCCTCCTTCAAAAATACCAGTTATGTATCTCGAAATCCAAAGGGTTTATTTCTTTTGTCAGAAAATTAAAGAATATAGACAAGCAAAAATGAAGTATAATTTATGACTGGTTGCAGCTGACAGTAGGACTTTCAAGAAGGCAAGTTAAAGGCAAGGTTGAAATACAGGAACTTGTTACGTCTCATGACAGCCTATAGTCCTTCTTTGTAGTGCTTTCCACGTTTATAATTATTTATTAATTACTTGTAGTGGCCTATGTAAAATCATTTCATTATGAAATATTTCAGGTACACACATACAAAACTATAGACTGATATAGTGAACAACCATTTACACGTCACTCAGCTTGAGAATCATAACCTAACAGGGGCGCCTGGGTGGCTCAGTGGGTTAAGCCTCTGACTCTTGATTTCGGCTCAGATCATGCTCTCAGGGTCGTGAGACCGAGCTCCATACAGGGCTCCACACTGACACGGAGCCTGCTTGGGATTCTCTCTCTCCCTCTCCATCTGCCCCACCCCCACCCCCTGCAAGCATGCTCTCTCTCAAAAAACAAAAAGAAATGTAACATAACAAATACAGTCTCAGCCTGCTGGACCCATCTCAGTCTTGTGTCCCTTCACCTCTCTCTCTCTTCCCAGTGATGAACTTTATCCTCCAGTTGTGTTTTTTATTCCATGCACGTTTAACAAAACATTTTTTTTTAAGTTTATATATTTATTTTTAGTAACCTCTATACCCAAGGTGGGGCTCAAACTCATGACTTGAGATCATGAGTCACATGTTCCACTGACTGAGCCAGCCAGGCACCCCTCCATGCAGATTTTTATGCTTTGATTGTGTATCTATATTCTGTAACCAACATATAGTATTCTGTTGCATAATTTAAAACTTTAATTTTTTTATTTACTTTTTATTTTATTTTTTATTTTTATTTTTTATTATGTTAGTCACCATATAGTACTTCATTAGTTTTTAATATAGTGTTCCACAATTGATTGTTTACATATAACACCCAGTGCTCCATGCAATATGTGCCCTCCTTAATACCCATCACCAGACTAACCCATCCCTCCACCCCTCAGTTTGTTTCCCGGCGTCCATAGTCTCTCCTGGTTCAGTCTCCCCCTCTGATTTCCCCCCCCTTTCATTTTTCCCTTTCTTCTCCTAATGTCCTCCATGTTATTCCTTATGTCCCACATGTAAGTGAAACCGTATGATAATTGTCTTTCTCTGCTTGACTTATTTCACTTAGCATAATCTCCTCCAGTTCCATCCATGTCGATGCAAATCATGGGTATTCATCCTTTCTGATGGCTGAGTAATATTCCATTGTATATATGGATCACATCTTCTTTATCCATTCATCTGTTCTCTTATACCATACAGAAAGATAAGCTCCAAATAGATGAAAGACCTCAGTGTGAGACAGGAATCCATCAAAATCCTAGAGAAGAACATAGGCATTAACCTCTTCGACACTGGCCACAGCAACTTCTTTCAAGACACGTCTCCAAAGGCAAGGGAAACAAAAGTGAAAATGAACTTTTGGGACTTCATCAAGATAAAAAGTTTCTGCACAGCAAAGCAAACAGTCAACAAAACAAAGAGGCAACCCACGGAATGGGAGAAGATATTTGCAAATGACACTACAGATAAAGGGCTGGTATCCAAGATCTATAAAGAACTTCTCAAACTCAACACCCAAAAAAACAAATAATCAAGTCAAAAAATGGGCAGAAGACATGAACAGACACTTCTCCAAAGAAGACATACAAATGGCTAACAGACACATGAAAAAATGCTCAACATCATTAGCCATCACGTAAAACTTTAAATAGAATCCCGCTTTACAAATCATTTCATGACAGCCTTTTTTTCACCATTATGATTTTTTTCAATTTATCAAAATTGTGTTTCACTTATTCCACTATTCATTTATTTTGCTACTACTATTAGTGTTAATTTGTTATGATTGCATTCACTGTACAACTATATCACAATTTATTTATCCATTCTCCTGTAAGTGGGCATTCAGGTTGTTTCTGTTTGTCTCCTTCTTCTTTCTCTTCTTAAATTTTAAGTAGGCTCCACATCTGATGTGGGGTTGAACTCACGACCCTTTGATCAAGAGTCGCTTGCTGTACTGACTGAGCCAGCCAGGCGCCCCTCTGTCCTGAGCATTTCTCCTTGTGAAAACTGATGGAGCTTCTCCAGGTGCACGGTATATACCCAGGAATGGAACTGAGGGGCTGTAAAATCTACACATCTCCAACTTGACTAGATCTCACTAAACTGCTCTGCTGAGCAGTTGTACCAATCTTCGCTCTTACCAGCCTTCCGTGAGACTTCCTGTTTCTCTAGCACTTGCTTTTGTTAGATTCTCACTCTTTGCCAGTGTGATGTGTATGAATTGCAGGTTCAGTCCTGGAGAGCTGGAATCATATTGTCTTGTTTGCCATGGTTTTCCTGGCACTCAGCACAGCTCCCGGCACGTGGTAGGTGCTCAGTATTTGGGATTGACTGAGCAACAGAGTTTTCTGGTTCCCCCCATTTGCTGGAGAGGATGCCTGTTCTCCAGGGAGCCTGCTTCCTCCTACCCCTCTCACTTGAAGATCAGAGACCTCTCATGCACGAAACGGAGAGGACAGTCTGGCTACCCTGTTTGCCTTTCATTTGAGCACTGATTCTCAAAACCCTATGCAGGTGCATCAGAATCACCTGGAGGGCTTGTGGAAACACAGATGGTGGGGTACCACCCCCCAAAAACTTCCTATGCGGGAGGTTCAGGGTGGTCCAAGAATTCACATTTCTAACGAGTGCCTAGGTGGTGTTGATGCTACTGGTTTGGGAAGCACACCTTGAGAACCATTATATTGGAGAGACATCCAATCCAGACATTTTGGATATGTTGTGTGTGGAATGTCCTTAAAGAGACCAAACGCAAAACTTCAAATGTCATTCCAAAAGTGGATAGCAGAGGAATAAAACTCACATCTAGCTCCAGTTGGCTGGGATAGGGAAAGAAGGAGCCTGAATTCTGGGTCCATAGGATGTTCAAGACAGATGGCAGCCCTTACAAAGACTGATGTAATTCAGTAAGAATGTAGAGGGCAACCCCTGGCACGTTTTCCTATCTTCCACAAGATTTCAAGCCAGGATTTTTTTTTTCTACCGATACTCCTGAGATCATCCTGATCTTCTCTTCTTTCCCCTCCTCCTCCTCGGTCTTCTTCAGCTTCGTCAAACATTCATTTTTTTAAAAAAGATTTTATTTATTTATTTGACAGAGAGAGACACAGCGAGAGAGGGAACACAAGCAGGGGGAGTGGGAGAGGGAGAAGCAGGCTTCCCGCAGACCAGGGAGCCCAATGTGGGGCTCGATCCCAGGACCCTGGGATCATGACCCGAGCCGAAGGCAGACACTTAACGACTGAGCCGTCCAGGAGCCCAACGTCAAACATTCATTTAATTCAAGTGTAGACTTGATCGTCATGATACCACAATAAAGATAGCTGCCCTTTATGGAGGGCTTGGTTATAAGTGCTTTATAATCTCATCTCATCAGCACCATTGCATCTAATCCTTAGGTCTCTCCAACTCCAATGTCGTGTTCTTTATTATTCCTGTACACTGTATTTCTGTGAGCGTTGGTCCCTTCATTCATTCCTTCATTCCTTCATTCGTACCTTCACCAAATATTTACTGAGCACCTGCTATTCGAGAGGCACTCTGCTGCCGATATGGGCAAACAAGACAGACAAAATCCTTATTAGAGTGCTTACAATCTCTTATTATTCCAGTCTGTAAAAAGAGGTGATACTGTTCCTCCCTCAGAGTTTCTGTAGGGATTAGGGAAATGTGTGTCTGGCACATAGTAAGTGCTCAATTAATGTTGGCTCCTGACCTTCTTTACCCCCAAGAGCTGGTAATTTTCTATTCACATATGTGGGGGAGAACGGTTGGAACCAATTCTAAGAGACTGACTATGTTCTTCTAAAAGGACGCATTTCACATTTCACTGTTGTTTCCTTTTTTTTTTTTTAAAGATTTTATTTATTTAGAGAGAGGGTGAGTGGGAGGAGGGGCAGAGGGAGTGGGAGGAAGAGAATCTCAAGCAGACTCTGTGCTGAGCTGGGAACCCAATCCCCCTGAGATCATAACCTGAGCCAAAATCAACAGTCAGACAACCGACGGAGCCGCCTGCACTGTTTTTAAAATTCATGCAGCCTACACCCTATTAACCGAACAAATGCTTATTTTCCTGGTCTCTGTGGGCAAGACTCAGGCTTTTGCTCCTGTCTGCCTCCTTGTTCCCCTCATCTTCCTCCCATTCCAGCCAGGATCTCAGACTATACATGAGTTTCGACAGACCAATGCTTTGGGAAAGCTTTGTGCAATTTTGAGAGATGAAAAATGGAGGAATATGGGCTCCAGGCAACTGGTGTGATGGAGAATAGAGGAAAAAGATAAGAGAAATGTGAAGTTTGGGAGGATGTTTGCACGGGCAACGAGAGAAAAATAAGTAACAAATGTCTACTTAGAGCTATTTTCCTTCAAGCCTCTGGAGCCTTTGAAGAACTGGGATAGGAGAAATCTACATTTTAGGAATCCAGGCTGCTGTTTATGTAATTTCCACCTTCAGGGGCTTCAGCTCCGTCTTCGCTGAGTGCTAGTCATTTCTTTGTCAGGCTCAGTTTTAGTGATTCTCATCCCCTCCCCCCACCCAGGACGAGGGTTTAACTGTACAACATAATCGATGCACTGAAGCCCAAACTGGAGGTCTTTCTCTCACGACAGATGAGATAGTTCAGAAGGGAAATGTCACATGAACATTGTACATTTCTTTCCACAGGCCTGGCAGAAAGCTACACCTGGATTCTTGCAGCTGAACCCATGTAACTGGCATCTGGACTTTTCTACCCAGTTACCCCCATGTGGTGAGTGAAACACTCGGGGGTCATTCCTCCTCAACCTTGTGACCTTGGGCAAGGGCCCTGATCTATCAGATCCTCAGTTTTTTTTCATCTGTGGAAAGATAACCACGACAAAATACATACCTTGAGGTGGTTTCAGTGGGGATGGTTAAATGAGATACAGTTTAGAAATTCTCATCATAGTATCTGGAGCATGTTTACATTCTATAAATAAGAGCAAAAACTTCTTACTGTCCAAACTTGTCTCGTGGAAAGGTCTGAAGCTTATACAGCAGTGTGGGGAAAGTGGAATTCTATGGACCCGGCTCCATCTGTTTGTCCTGCCACCTCCGGGACTTTGGGAAAGTCATTTCCCTCTCCGAGACTCTGTTTTGTCCCAGTTTGGCTGGGTGGAGAAACTAGGGGGAAGGTTGGGGGCTTTTAAGGCCCAAGGAAACAGTAAAGAATAACCTATGTGTAATGTGCTATATGTATAATATATTATGTAATATGTACTATTTTATATGCACTGTATAATATGTAAATATATAAGAAACTCTCAACTACACGATATTATGTGTAGCACGTTATATAGAAGATACACACTGTTTAGTAGATATAATATATACTACATGGTATATAGCATCTAGTAAATTATATGTATATACATTGCATAATGTATATAATGTACACTATGGATATAAGCACCAACATGTATGATACATGCTCTATCATGTATACCACATAACATGAATAACCCATACATACCATATATTGTTTATATTCTGTGATATATATTACATGTAATGTAGTATATAATATATGTGATATATATACACCATCTAACATACTATAATAAGATACTATATGGTATATTCAGCATAATGTATTATTAGTATAATATATAATATACTATATATTATATAGGTTTATATAATACAGATGCCACACTATTACAATATTATATACTATATAATATATATACTTTATATAATACGGTGTACTATGTAATATATACTGTATTTAAGCAACGTTAATCTATATAGTATACCATATTCATGATATATGCTATTTACTATGCAATACACCATGTATAATATGGCAAAAGTGAAAGTTTCTTGTGAACTGAAAAGCCTTAATTAGTAGGAGATGCTATTAGTCCCACAGAGATGTAAATGACTGCTATAGTTTATTTTATTTTTATTTATTTATATTTTTTCAATGACCGACATGGTTTGAAGTGTGACTGAGACTCGCTCATAATAGTTTACATTTTACCCCTTGCTCCCCACTCCCTCTACCCCAGATATTTCTCTTGTGTCTTTACTGCTCAAGGAATGGCACCAGCCTCCTCCCGGGTACTTGTCAAAGAGCCGGGGGTCACATTGCCCCTCTTCTTTTCCTCCCACTCCCACACCCTGCTGTCTAGTCCTTTGGATGCCCTGTTGGTTCTTTCTGTTCTACCTCCAAAGCTGGGCCCAGATCTGCCCCACTGTTGCCCAGGCCCAGCCACATCATCACCTGCCGAGACAACTACAGGAGCCCCTTAGCTGTTTTCCCTCCTCCCTCCCTTGCCTCTTTATGAGCCACCCTTCACGCAGTAGCCTCCATCTCTTAAGGGAGTAAATCTGATCACGTTACTTCTCAGTTGAAATGTGATGGGCTTTTCCATCACGTTTAGGATAAAACCCGAACCCCTTGCTTTGGCCTGGGAGGCCCTTTTGGCCCTGGCTCCTGACATCTGATTTTGTCTGGTATTACTGCCCTGACCCACTTGGCTCAGTCCACTCCCACACATTGGTGACGGTTCAACTCTCGGGTATGTTGTACTTGATGCACCACAGGGCTTTTGCCCCTGCTGTTCCCATGACCTGGGATGCCCTTCTCCCAGATATCCACATGGCCCACTCCCTCACTTCACTCAGGACTCTACTCAAATGTCACTTTATCAGGGAGGACTTTCCTGACCACCCTGTAGTGTATCATGTCTGTCCCCTCACTGTGTACTGTCTGTCTATATATATAGAGAGAGAGAGAGAGAGAGAGCGCAGCTACATCCACATAGCAGATACACATCAGAAACTGTCAACTATACTGTATTATATGTAGCACATTATGTAGAATATGCACACTATTTAGTATATGCAATATGTACTACATAATGTATAACATCTAGTATATATGGTATGTATACTTTCTAGCATGTGTGTGTATATCTAGTGTGTATATCCAGTACATTCTGCATCCTCCACATGAGAGAAGAGCTCCATAACACTGCTGTGTGAGTTTTAAGTCTTTCCATAAAAAAAGGGTTTAGATAGTGAGAAATCCCATAGCTGCGGTTTATGGAGGATTACCATGTGCCAGGCACGTGCCGAGGTTTCTTTCTTTTTAATTCTATCTCATGTAACGCTCACCATCATAGCAATGACTTGAAGTGTGTGTTACTTCAGGAGGGGAAGTCAGCTCAGAACCAATGTTGTTGCTGTCAGCAATAATAGGAGTAAGGGTCCTTAAATGAGTGAGTGGATGTACAACAAGTGGCCTGTTCTGAAAGCTATTTCACATTGTATGTGAACACAAAGCACTTGGTTTCAGGAGTGGCTTGAGTGGTGGACAGTAAGACAGTCTGGTCTTACTGTCTCATTCCCGCAAGAGTCCTTATCCCGGGTCAACGTGGCGGCCCCAGGATTTATTAGGGAAGGCAACCTTTCCTCACCCCCACTGCCCACAGATCCACAGCCCGAGGCATCTGAGAAATGGCTCCCCTAGTCCTCGGGGACAAGCATCCCTGGCATCCGGGGGCTGTACCTTTCACTGCGTCGGTGATAAACCTTGAGCCGAATCCAAGTTACTGGCCTTGTGTTCTGTCATCTGGGAGACCTCCTGACTTCGTGTGGTGCACTCACAGCCATGTGCCCTTTTATTTATGACTTTTATGGAGTCTTCTGTGCGGTCATAAATTGACCAACCCTCTAGCCGATTCGGACCCTCATCAGAAGCTGTCATCAAAGTGAATCACATTCTCAGTGGCTGTTCCTTCCCCAAAGGTTCATTGCAGAGGCTGGGATGTTTCCTGCAACTTGCTTAGAGTATCTGTCAGCTCCTGGCAGCCCAGACCCGCTAAGCCCAGATGATTTTTTTTTCCATTGGGAAAAAAAAAGTGAAGTAAAAAGAGAAGAGGAGATGCGTGTATTTGGTAAGGGGGGACTTCGGTGGCAGTATAGCATTCTGGAACAGGTTCAATTTCTGGAGCTGTGAAGTAGGTGAAGTTGACATACTTTCATTTCTGGCCCAGAAATATTCTGAATAATTCTCATACCAGGGATTTGGGACAAGGCAGAGATCGAACTTTTCCCAGGGGTATCTGAGAACCAGCAACTTAAGTAGAAATGGAGATTGGACCTTGGACTTGGTATGGACTTGAGTGGCAGTGATTTCCCTAAAAGCAGAAGGTACTAGAGAGTTCATAACAGCTGCACAGACATCTGTCAGGCCCTGTGTTGAGAGCACAACACGCAGTATCTCCCTCATCTCTCAACACTCCTCTGTTGAGTCCCCATTGTACAGAAAGGGAGGCTCACAGAGCTTATATGGCTCTACAGCTTCTTCCAGGTCACGTGGATACTAAGTGGTAGGGCCAGCACTTAAACCCAGATCATATGGTGATTTTATCAAAATTCATCCATTTTAATGTACAGTCCACTGATTTTTAGTAAACTTTAAAATATGTGCAACCGTCACTTCGATCCAGTTTTAGAAATTTCCATTTGCCCTCTAAAAGATCCCTCGTGTTCATTTGAATTCAATCTGCATTCCCATCTGTAGCTCCAGGCAACCCACTAATCTATACGTCTCTGTGAATTTGCTTTTCTCTGGACATTTTATATAAATGGAATCCTATAATATGTGGTCTTTTCATCTGGCTTCTTTAATTTATCCAGAGGTACATCTGTGCTGTTGCAAGTGACAGTAGTTCATTCATTTTCAGACTGTTCTACTGTATGGTTGTACCACATTTCATGTATCCATTGACCAGTTGATAGACACTTGGATTATTCCCATTTCCTAGCTGTTATGAATAATTCTGCTATGACCATTCATGTGCACAGCTTTGTGTAGATGTACGCCTTCATTCTTTTAGGTAGATTCCTGGGAGTAGAATTGCTGGATTTAATGGCAAGTTTGTGTTTAACTTTACAGAAAACTACCAAAGTGTTTTTAAAGTCACTGTTCCATTTTACATTGAACTCAGGTCCTGTGACACTAAAGTTCATATTCTTTTTTTTTTTTTTTAAGATTTTATTTATTTATTTGACAGAGAGAGACACAGCGAGAGAGGGAACACAAGCAGGGGGAGTGGGAGAGGGAGAAGCAGGGTCCCCGCTGAGCAGGGAGCCCGATGCGGGACTCGATCCCAGGACTCTGGGATCATGACCTGAGCCAAAGGCAGACGCTTAACGACTGAGCCACCGAGGTGCCCTAAATTTCATATTCTTAATCACTGTGTTATATATATGTCTCACGTTGCTCCATGCCCTAATTATCGATTAATGTTGAGTCATCCTTATATACATGTCTCGCATTACTCCATGCTGTTAATAATTTATTAATTTCAACAATCATTGCATGATGTCTGTTCTGTGCTGGTCCTGATCCTGGAAGGTAGGAATAGAGAGGTCAAAGATAAGATTTTTTTCTGCCTTCTGCGGTAGATTGGATTATTAATCACAATTCCTCTGCCATATGACCTTGCAGTGCACTAGATGAGCAGAATGGATTTCCCCTCCAAGGACTCAGGCTGTTGGAAAAGGCAGTCTCCTGCATGCGGTCATTTGACCCCAGCTTGGCCTTATAAGAATGGGTCTGAGCCTGGAATATTTCTTTCCTGGGAGATTCAGTACTCTGTCTGTGCTGGGCTTATGGCCTTGTGAGGGAATATCTTTCTCTGTTCCCAGCTTAATGTGTACTCCTTTGTTCTCCTTAAAGCACATGAGCCAATGACTCTCATGCACACCCCCAGC